TACTTTCGTTATACCTGACAGCATTGGGCGGCCATCTTCCCTCTCCCCCTCCGCCTCCAAGGACGGAGGGGACGAGAGGGAGCACGACTGTGGGGGCACTGGGGGGGAACTGGCCTCCGGACTTCCCCTACTTTTGTTAACTGGAACCGGCACTCCTGTTGATGGTACAGGAATACGATCACTGTCAAAGAGCATAGATCCGGATGCGCCACTTTCTGAGGTAACGGTGGAACTTTCCCCTCCTAACTTTGTTGTTGCCACAGCTGCAAGGTTCTTTTCGAGCTGATACCGCTTGATATTATTCACCACCTCCCGCCACGGTTTCATCAATTTCCTTGCAGCTTTATCCTCATCAATTACCATATCCCATAAAACATCACCTAATCGTCTCCACTCCTCGACATCAAAAAGAGAATTAGGATCTTGAAAACATCCTTTGACCTGTCCTAATGCTACTAAACCCGCGAGTGATTTTACACAATCTACTCCCCTCTTTTCTAAAAAGTGCTGCAATAAATCTAGGGCTACCTCCTGTTCCATATTGCCAGCCTTGTGCCCCCTGATTCAGGCACTGCCGCCCCTGTGCTCCCTGATTAAGGCACAATACCTGTTCCCTTACTTTGATATGTCGCTGATGCCCCCTGATTCAGGCACCAGTTGCAGCCTTTGCCAGTAGCCCTCGCAGATGGCGAACCCCTATGTCAGTTCAGGTCCTCGGAACGACACGTCGGAGATCCAATGTTCGATCGTTCTTGACCCCCCGGACGCTGCTGTATCCAGTGCTTCTCTGCGTCCGCTGCTCCGTCCTTTTTATCCTTCTATTCCTGGCCCCTGTTCAGGCACCATTTTGCGAGCAGCAGAGGAACATGCTGAGACAAACTCAATGTAAGTGATAAAGCATGGTTCACTTTATTGGTCCAGGGTACACATATTTATACAGACAACGCTAATTATTATGCCTACTAGTCACTAGCTGATTGGCTCAATCTCTAAATTTGCACGGTCCACCTACTTGCAGTTAGCTAGCAGCACAAGCTTCTCATTCCACTAAGTTTCTCATTCCACTACTTCTAATTCCTCTTAACTTGTTTATGATACACAAGGCCGAAGCATCCTTGAAATTCTTCATGTGTCAGCAGCTGCGAGCAGCTCCAGGCAAACCCTAGTGAGGCCCAGCATCAGCCCCTAGAACAGGCTCTGATTGTACAACTGCTCGGTGGGCTCAGGACCCTTGTCTCTGAGCCATTCTCCAACAAGCAGCTGTATAAAATGAGTTGTGGAATTTATCTTCTAGCTTTCATTAAATGTTTTCAAATGCTTTGATCACAAACACATAATTGAAAGTGATTTTTTTTTTCACTGCCCTGAAATGGATCCTTATCAGAACTGAGACTGGAGGAATTTCCAGCTTTCTGTTTTGTTTTTCCATACTCAGACTGCCGAGAGTCCAACCCGGAGATTGTGATTTGCAGTGTTTTTACTTCAAGTGCGAATGAGTGAATGCAGGGCAATGCTGGCTGCCTGCTGCCCCTGGCTGCTAGCTCCCAGGCACCTACCTGGATGCTGCACCTTGGCTGGGCAGGCTACAGCTACTGGCCTCAACTAGAGATGGGCAAGAAATTCTTAATTTAAAAAGCTCCAGAAAAAAAAAAAAAATGTAACAATAAGACCCATACATTGTGCTGCATTCATATATGCTGTAACAACTCAGGAAAGCCCTTAGGCACATATTTAAGAAAAAGAATGTCAAATTTTGCTCTGAAAATGGCTCTGTGTAAGCAAGTGATTTGTGGAATGAGACCTTCATGGCTGTACACAGTAAAAAGTCTTCACTGCCAAATCTGAAGTCTGCTTCACAATCACCACAGTACCTTTTATTGATGAAATGTCAGACGAAAATCACAACAAATATTAAATATCTATCCAAAAGCATACCAGCTAGTGATCCCTGTGGCTAAATCAGGCCCACACTGATGTTTACAACATACATTTAGCAGGCAGTTCAGAGAAACAGCAGATACAGGACTAACTGCGATGAATGAAGACTTGCTGTGCCCAGCAGCCACCTTCACTGGATCCACAGAAACCACCACTCCTCCATACACTCCAACTGTTTGCAAATACACTGTCCGTGCTACGGCACAGGGATCTGCTCTTCTGTGCCACATATGCCACCCACCAAGGCATGCCCATCACGCAACCACTTCAGAAAACATTTTCCAGTATTGCTCATTTGCTCTAGTAATTAAAGTATTTTCCACAGCAATTCACAAAGATTCTTTATCAACTCAAAATATTTTATTTTCTAATTCTGAAGCTGCTTGAACTCACAGCCAACCATTCCCAATGCCATTATGAAATTAAGTACTACTCTGCAAGTCTACATATGTGCCTGTGGCCTAGACTACACTGGTATAAAGCAACATTAGGAATATGCTAATAGCCATAATGTTAAAATACATTAAGAAGATTCCTCATGTTAAGAATATGTTAGTTGATCCCAGTTAATTCTACTGACACACACTAATGCAGAGTGAAAATTTTCACCTAAATTATTTTTCGAGGGAAAAGTGCAGATTCTCTCACATTAATGCAGTTCAGGAATCGGTACTAATTTCCCAGACTGACTGCTTAGAAAAAGAAATTAAATACAAAAATTGTTTCAACCACTTCAAAACAAAAATAATTCAATTTTTCTACTATAATGGAATCATTCAGTTGTTAAAGAAAATACTATTTTTGACTTCAATCAGAAAGAAGAAAATATTTTGTTTAATTCAGCCCCCTTTTCTACTTCCAGATGGTTCAGTAGCTGTTTTCAAAATACTTAATTTTCCACCAACTCCCAAACTGAAAGCATTTTTTTAATTCAATGTAAACTAAAAATAAAGCCCCACCATCTGTTGGAATGGGTTCAGAGGAGGCCATGAAGATGATCAGGGTGCTGGAGCACCTCCCCTGTGAGGACAGGCTGAGAGAGTCGGGGTTGTTCAGCCTGGAGAAGAGAAGGCTCTAGGGAGACCTTACAGCAGCCTTCCAGTTCTTAAAGGGGGCTACAGGGAAGGTGGGGAGGGGCACTTTATCAGGGAGTGGAGTGATAGTATGAGGGGTAATGCTTTTAAACTGAAAGAGGGGAGATTTAGATTAGGTATGAGGAAGAAATTCTTCACTGTCAGGGTGGTGAGACACGGGCACAGGCTGCCCAGAGCAGCTGTGGCTGCCCCCTCCCTGGAAGGGTTCCAGGCCAGGCTGGACGGGGCTTTGGGCAAACTGGGCTGGTGGGAGGTGTCCCTGCCCATGGCAGGGGGGCTGGAACTAGATGGTCTTTAAAGGCCCATTCCTACATAAACCGTTCTGTGATTCTATGATTCCATCTGCCTAGCTTTGCTCTGACGATGTTATGTTTGATAAAATATAAATAAAAGATGTTACTAACATCTTTTCCAACATGAAACATTTTCCCAGCCTACATATGAAATAAGCATTCTTGCTGTTGGGTGTTCAGTTCTAGGGATCGGATTAGATGAGGACAGACAAGTGCTAGTAGATGGTGCTGCACCTCCCCTCCCAACAAACAGAACATCCAAATGCTTACTAAACACAGTATCATTTTATAAATTATAGTGAGCTAAACCAAAGCAATTAGGTTCATCCAAGAACATCAGGCTCATTTGTAAAAAGTAAAAAACAACTTTATGCAAAACAGAGCAATGGGTGTAAATGGTAAAGATCCTGTAATACTTGAAGTCTTACTGGATGCCTGGGCAGGTCAGATTTTGGGTGAAGAAGCTGGGGAGGTACAAAGTTTTTGAAAGAGATTCCACAGAATCATACAATTGTTTAGGTTGTAAAGAACTTTAAGATCATCAGGTCCAACCATAAACCTAACACTAACAATTCCACCACTAAACCATGTCCCTAAGCACCACATCTACACCTCTTTTAAATACCTACAGGGATGGTGACTCCACCACTTCCCTGGGCAGCCTGTTCCAGTGCTTAACAACTCTTTCAGTGGAGAAATTTCTCCTAATAATCTAAACCTCCCCTGGTGCAACTTGAGGCCAGTTCCTCTCCTCCTATCGATTGTTACTTGGGAAAAGAGACTGACCCCTGCCTCGCTACAGCCTCCTTTCTGGTAGCTGTAGGGAGCAATAAGGTCTCCCCCGAGCCTCCTTTTCTCCAGGCTAAGCAACGCCTGTTCCCTCGCCCTTTCCTCACAAGACTTGTTCTCTAGACCCTTCACCAACTTCATTGCCCTTCTTTGGACACACTCCAGCACCTCGATGTCTTTCTTGTAGTGAGGGGCCCAAAACCAAACATGGTATTTGAGGTGCAGCATGCTGTTGGCCTTCTTGGCCACCTGGGCACACTGCTGGCTCATATTTGGCCGGCTGTTGACCGTTACCCTCAATATGCCTTTCAATCACTGTTATCCCCAGAGACACTGTTAGCACAAGGATCCTGAGTATCATTATTCCCATTTTTCAAGAAGAGAAGCAAAGTGCCATGTAACATCACAGACCAGTGACAGAAGACATCTCAGACTAACTCACACTTTCTTTTTCCAGGCCAGTGACAGAGAATCTGCCATCCCTAGGAAGAACATCTGCTAGTGACATATTTACAAACAGCAACCGTGTATTTACCAAGTTTGGAAGTGAATTGACAAGGAATGTAAAAAGTCTTGCCCTACAGAGATCATCATTTCTGTAGGTGGAGAGCCCAAACAGGTTTGGGGGCTTCAGAACAAATGTATGAAAATGTATTTACTGATCAGAATTAGCTATGGTGAGCTCCTGGCATAGAGTAAGAGATGATAAATTTTAATGGAGGAAGCATGGGAAAATGCTGTGTTGGACATATGATAGCAATCCAGGGTGAAATAAGATTTTAAAAAGTCAAAAGAGTTGAGTAAGAATGACTCTGGATTAACTCTAAATCATACCCATTCCAATAGATAAAAAATAAAAATAAAATAAAATCACATTGTGAGACAGTTAGGTTACCATCAAGTGCTCTGTAACAGCATAAAAGTACATGGTATGAAATCTTACTAAATTACATGGTATGAACACACTCACGCCATGTATATATCACTGGAGAATAAACAGGCTTATCTTTCCACTAGTGGTCCTTTCAGTTCTACAGCTCACAGGCATTTATGTCAGAAGTTGTTCCGACATGGACAGTGGCTATTTGTGATGCAAGAATATACAAACTCCTGAAGCTGAGCTTCCAGCTCCTGCAGAAGAGAAGCACAGAGGGCTTCTAAATCCTTGGCAATCCACCTTCACTAACTGCACCATTGAGGATAATCTTAGGAGTCTGCTTGTTGTCCTCAGCTTCTTCAGCTGTACTCTCCGGAGGCTCTAGGTCATCGTATCTTCTCCGATAGACCACCCTTGACATCAGGGTTATCAGAAACATTTCCATGATGAGAAGCTGCTGGGTTATATCTGCCAAAAAAAATGGAGGCAAAGTAAAGCCCCCAAGAGGGGGAAATGACTATCAGGCACAAAATGAATACCTGGCTTATTAATTTTCATCTGTGCAGAACAAACAAATTTTACCATCCTGTCCCCATAACAGAGTGTCTCTCACACTTGTCAATAAAATCAGTTAAAGAATTAGAGTATAGCCCACCAATAAGCATGTAATAATTTATGCATCCAAAATGCAAGAGATTTAATAGCAATTATGCATGCTGACTTCTTTTCCTCTCCTTTCTGCTTCCAACTCTTCTCATAATTAAGTTTGATCTTTGACAGCTATAAGTTTGACTATGACAGCTATAAAACTTTTGTTATTTTTTTTTACATAAAAGCTAAGATTCTCCAAAAGCTACATGATCCCAGGAAATGAGTATTTTGGGAAAACACCAGCCATCATAGTCAGCAACACTGAACTGGCACCTTTGTAAGTAAATGAAGAACATCCTTCCCAAAAGAACTTACATGCTCCTCTTGCTGAAGAGGAGAGTGGTGGAGCACAGGGAATGATTCTTTGCATGGCCAAGATGTTGATAATAGCTGCCTGCAAGTGGTTTAGAATGAGAATAAACTGCAGCAGAAAGAAAAAAACAGATGACTTAGCTACCAGAAAAAGGTTTATAGTTCACACAACAATTCTACTTTCATAACAGACCCTCTCTTGCCTCATTCCTCCTCCCTTGCCCTTCCTCTCCTCCCATCTACCAGCAGGCTGCCAGCCATTCTGCAGAATTCATCTTTGGGTCAGGATGATATTGCTCTGAATGTGATCATTAAATTAATTCTCAGCCCTTCATTTGGGAGGTGCAATATACACAGACCTCCCAGTTGGGATTTTAAACAATATTGAGCTCAGAATAATAGGCAACAATGTTTTAAAAACTTCCCGTTAATCTTACCTATAAACTTATGTTCTCCTTTAGGGAAGTAGTGACTCAAATAACGTTTTGATCTGGCCTCCTCTTTTTGCCACAGCCAGGGAGATGTGGTGCTCCCCAAGTTATGTGAGGCTGGCTTCCTTGCCATAAGGGATGAGGAGCTCTTTGCAGGTTGGGTTTGGCAAGAATCACTTATGCATCATATTACCTGCTATTTGCTGAGCGAGGCCTTTGCTGCTTTGGAGATATCAGAGTGTCTCTCCAGCTGCTGGTGTAACTGCCTGAGTACAAACCCTGGCATTAACAGAGTTTGCCATCCTAATCCTGGATTCACCCTAATGCAGCTTTGCAGGTGTGACTATTCTGTTTATTGCATTTGTAAGTGCTTAATAATTTACTTAACAGAGACCTTAGTGCACCAGCCTTTCTATATGTCCTGTTCAAGAAGGATGCATATCCAAGAATTCTGTTGTACTCTCTTCAGGGTGATGTGGAAGAGGGTGGCCCTGTCCCTAGGCTTTTTCAGTCTAATCTATCTGGTTCTGTTCCTTGCTATTTAATGATTCCCAGTGAGTATTTTCATTATTATCTAGCTCTGAAGTGCAGAATGGCCAAGAAAAATATTCTCAAAACACAACACTGTGACATGCTGAAACAGTTCAAACAACAGCCACCCACACACTGCTCCGCATCCTCTCCTAGTTTTTAAAAGTACACACCAGCATTTTAACATTGTATTTCAGGATACTATGTTTACAAAGCCTCCTTCAAGCCCTGCAGAAGGTGCTGTTTTGATTTCGGTTGCCTAAAAATAAATGGATTTTACGCAGCTTTCACATCTCTAGAACTCCTGAGAGACTAGAGGTAAATTGGCTCAAGCTGAAACTGAACGGCAGCCAAGGAGAGTGCTTCAAAGGGATGCAGATTTAATCAGGTAAAATATGCTTTTGCAGTGTATTTTATAAGAAAAAAAAAACACTAGGACTTTTCAACAAAGGACCAAGAACCGGAGAGACAGTGTTATATCAGCAGTTAAGAGAAATTCTTATCAGAAATATTAAACTTTTCACCTGATAAAGAGCAAACTTTGGGATGATCTTCTTACAGGTAAGGAGAGTCCTAACTTGTTGAAACATGATTCCAACTGGCCACAGAGCAATAATGGTGAGGACACCAACGAAGCAGCTAATCCATATTGCAGCTCCTTTGGGAGATAACTGAGAAGCAAATCAAACAAGTGTACCTATAAAACTTTACAGTGCATTTTACTATTTCCAGGAAGTTGTGAACCGGATGATGCAGATGTTAAAATGCTTGTTTCTACCTCCATGAAAGCTGATGGCAGCAACAGTTCTTGGGGTTTGCACAGGGAAACTGCACAGTACCAACTGGAGTGTTAGCACAGTTCAGCCTGAGAAGGTAACAAGTGACACAACCCCTCAGTCTGACCCTAGCAGCACCTGGGAACGCTCATGAGAGCATATTCAGCATAACAACTCAGAGAGGTCATTTATTTTATACCATGACACAACAACAACAACAAAAAAGTATTACTTTTAATCCAAGTTATCCAAGAGGTGCAAAGTTATTAGCAGACACAGACTTCTCCATCATCTTACATCCTACATGGTATAAAGCAGAAGTACAGCACTATCTTTTCTATTTTGCACAGACACAAAAATCACCATGATTTGCAGAAAAACATAGAATTAGGCTTCCTGTTTACATGGCAGTACATACACTTGTTTCTTAAGGCTGTACCTTACAAACCACAAGGCAGGTACATCCCACAGGGCAACTCACAGTCCTGCTGTTCTAACCATACAAGTTGGAAAAATATTGGAGCATAATCTGATGTCCAACCCACCGAGTTTCTTTTCAAGAGAAGACAAGAAATAAAGAGTCTGGAGGAAGGCAGAAATCATATGCTTCAGGGTCTCAAAAGAATACAGTGAGGACTCCCTTGAAAGTGCTCCCAGATTTCATAGTTTAGTTGTAGGCTAAGATACTAACATCAACCCTAAAACCTATGGATTCTGTGAACCATCTCTGATTGAAAGATTTACTTACATTGTAAAGGCTGTAATTTCCATTAGTCCAAAGCACTATTGATAAAAACATGAGCACTGGTCGCAGGAAAGCAAACTGAAAGGTGCCCAGCTTCAGCCAAAAGAGAGTTCGCCTGGCCAAAAAAAAAAAAAATCACATAGGCCAAGATCTTATCAGCAACCTTAACATTTTTTGGATACTGTCAACTGCAAAACTTTTATACTTCTGTAGCATGTGGCTAAAATTCGGGGAGGAACGGCTTCAAGATTAGAAAATCTTTCCACTAATTACCCAGTGTTTATTTAGTAAAGCCTCTACAAAAATAGTACTTTTCTTGTTCTGCAGCAATCAGATACTAACCAAAGCTGGGCAAAACGTGAAGTTTCTTTGACCTGAAGCTAACCAGAGAGTCAGTAGCAGCATAACCAGTTTCTGAACAATAATGCCACTTGCTCTTGCCTTGTTGCCTTACTATTTCAGTTCTCTGATGAAATTGGGCAATTCAGCCTTCCTGTCCAGACGCTTCCTAGTCCTGTGGCAGATGAAGAAAGGGAATCATACAGACCTAGGGGAAAGGACTGGTAGTTTTTCAGTGCATCACGAGTACTACCATGTAAGCATCTGGTTTTGCTCCTCTGTACTCTAACAGAAAAAAGGAACTATCTTTCACTTGAAACTGCACCAAGGCCAGCAGGACACCTTAGGATTTCCTTACTTCTGTCAGTATAAACTGGGTCCAGAACACAGCCCTTCCACAGTAACTGGGCCAGCCAGCATTGAAGGCTATCAGGGAAGGGAGAGATGCATTTTATAACAGTGGGCGTGAAAGCTGACTGACCTGAACTCTCCTTCAGTCTTCACAGGACAAGCTGCGGCTGCTCGGCTGGCTCATGTTTTAGTCTGTTACTGTGTATTATTTCCCATGCTGTCAATGTTGTCTTCACTGTAGCTCCCTGGGCCCTTGAGACTGCTGTCAGAGATGCCTCAGCAGACAACAGGCTGCCATTTAGTATGTTACAGGATATGATATAGCCATGAACCAGAAATTATAGGAATTACTCAATTAAAATAGCTTATAACCACAGGATTATGAACAGCACAAACACATGTGGAAGGGCCTGCAACTGGCCAGCCACTTAGTGTGTGTGCCTTTTCAAATATTTATTATTCCCAAAGGGTTTTAAAGAATAGTATGACAGTGCAGTCACTGCAACGCCACGAGTTGTTTCCCCTGTCAACGCAGGTCTATCTTTCTTCACCATCAGACCTCTTCTGCCACATATCTTCCCATTGTATGGCTTCTTACTTTGCCTCATCTGTCTACTGTACCTTATTAGCTTTCCCAGGACTGCTCAGTAGTATATGGATTTTTATAAGAATGAATCCTTCCCTCAAAGTAGCTCCCTGTTTCCCCAAAAGATACCTATTGGAGGAATATGAGACTGACCTTTCTCTGGTATAGCTTCCTCATATTAAAAAAAAAAAAAAAAAAAAAAAAAGTACCTTGTAATGGGAAAAGGCTTAGAAATCAGAAGCAGAGACAGTAGATGGGTTTCCCAGTGCTACGGACACCAGAGAAGGAGCCCTAAGCCCTCTGCAGAGCAAAAGGCCTTTTTTTTAAAAAAAAAAACAGGCAGCTGTCCTTCCTCTCAGCAGTTGTAGGCACTATCTAGCTCCTGAAAGAAGTTAACGTTAGCTAATATCACCAACAGGAGGGATAGTAGAGGATCCTCTCCCAAGCTCCCAGCTACTACAACCTATACAGAGGGTGACAGACATGGAAAGAAAAACAAATGTGCTGGTGACACATTAGATCTATAGTACAGCTCTGTCTCATGGCATTTCTTCAGCTTTGACTGCTGAAATGAGCCTGAACCAATGCCCATGAAAATTAGTAGGAGTCACTTAGATCCATATCAGTAGCTGCTGATTTCACGTCACTGTATTACATCCATTTTTGGAGGTACATTTTTCAGTTGGTTTAATACTTATTCTTCTTGGTGCCCCTTCCATGTAAATACTTAGTGTTATTTAATTAAAATAAAATGATGGAAACAAGAGTTTAAGTTCTGATACCGAATGAGGCAGTTTAAGAAAGAATTATTACAATAAAAAATGAGAATTTTTGCAAGCGCATCACAAATTGCTGTGCTGTGTTCTGTTTGCTGCTTTCATTTAACCAAATCACAAAGTCTCTAAGGCCCCTCTGACACCAATGTCCAGGCCCTCATAGAAAAGTCTCTGTCTTGCACATTCAGTCCTTCAGCTTTTGCTCCTCATGAGAGGATTCTCATGCTCTGTGCCAGTAGGAAAGCTCTGCAATATACATGAGAATTCCAGGCTTTGGAGTGGCGTGTAAATGACAGGGTGACACTAGCCAGAGAAGGAGCCCCACCAGGCCGTGCTCAACGGAGGCACGGTTTATGTTACAGTATATTGTCTCCCATAGATGCAGCTCTCCATCCTCATCCCATTTCCCAAAGGTGCATTAATACTATGTTTAGTAGAAGAAAGTATTTGCTTTTGCCTCACCAGACAATGCCATTTCACTGAGTTCGAAGCTTTCCAGGAATTACACCTATTTTTTCTTCTAAAAATTATTTTAATCTGAAGTAGTTTTAAAGTCAAAATCAGAATGAAACATTTCAATTTCATCGAAGCAAGAGAAATTTCCTTTCAAGACAGCCTCCATTTGACAGCCTCCCAATTTGGAGACATTTGTTCCCCTCTGGAACGAAAAGAAACTGAAATCTCAATTATTAGGTTTTCTAGAGTAGAAATTCCTCCTCCCACACACCACTGCTTACTACAGAAATGACTTCTTGGTAGAGAATGGGATTAGTTAGGGAGATACCACAGCGTTCGGCATTACTATGAGTGGGAACACTGCACTGGGTTAAACTGAGAGACGTCATGTTCTTGACTCACGCAAAATTCGACATTACAAAACCGAAATAAATTAGTGGTGCTGTACAGCCCCAGATTGATGGCACTGTTTAAAAGAGACGGCTTGAGACTGACTTTCGGGAAGCGGGGAGGCCCTTTGCTGTAAGCCTGGCCTTGCCAAGTTGGGTGACTTCCAGCAGCCGTTTTCCGGCCGGGAAATCTTAAAGGGCAACTCACCTAGTGATGGGCACACGAGGGAGGCAAAGGCAGCAGCAGCAGCAGGGACCCGTGCTGATCTTGAAGCGACCGTTTTCAAACCGCCTGAGGAGCAGCTTTTGACCTCCACACTCTTTAATCATCATCATCAGGAACTTGTGGATAACTATGGCAAAAAATCTAGGGGAGGAAGAAAATGCCAGCTTGAACCTGCCTGGGTGTAGGCCAGTGCCACCTTCTGCCCAGGGTTTTTACAGCTTGTGCTTTGCAACCAACAAAAATTCTAGCACTAGATGTGAGAAACCTCCTGCTTGCCATCACCTTGGAGGACCGTAACTGTCCTAACCTCACCAAAAGAGGAATAAACTGAGGCACAGAGCTGCTGTGGAATTTCCCAAAGCTGCACTGGTGGGTGGTGGCAGAGTCAGTATTAAAGCACAGGCTTTTCTGGCCAGAGTCATTGTGGCCATATTTTTCCATCAGTTATCTAGTCCTGACTGGTTCAAATTATTTAGAACAAGTCCTGTTTAAAAAAACGAAAAAGCAACAAACATAGCTATGTTCACAAATATACATATATATATATACACACATATATGTGTATACATGGCTGTCACTGAATGTGCTGGCCTAGTCAGGGTGTGGTTCCTCTGCAGGCAAAGCTGATCCAAACACCTACTTCTGCAATTCCACCTCTCCCTTCTTCAACACCTGCACATTCTCAACCCTTCCCAGGAACTACAGGTTGTGCAATCACCCTTTCTTTCCTGTCCCAAACAGATTTAGAGAACTGATTCACTGAAATACAACCTCACCAAATAAAAGAGGTCCTTTTCAGGTACACTGCCTTCTTGAGGGAGCTTGCCGTGCAGCTGGAGACTGAGGGCTAGTGGATGCAAGTGAAGGGACAGGAACCTGTAGTTTGGGCGAGGGAGGAGGGGGCAATTCAGACAGGCTTGAAGTGCCATAGGACTGGATCCTTGGAAGTTCCTGGCAATCTGTATTACCTGCACAAATTTCTGCATGCCATCAGTGTTCCTTGCTACCGTGTTTTCCCTCCTTTTTTACTCTACTCTCTCCGTAAATGCAGCGTGACATGGGGTGAGGCTATTCATGTGAGCCTATGATACTGCCCTGCAGTGGGTTCCCAAATCATCTCAAAATCAACTCTGGAGTGCCCAAGGCCACAGCGTCCCCCCACCTGGCTCTGTCTACCAGGCTGTGCCATTGCCTCCAGAAAGCAAGGACCACATTTCTCGCTTCTTTGTGCATGTCAGAGCTGTCATGCTCGCACAGAAAGAGCTTTTATCAGGACAACTGTGGAACATTTTTTACATTGATATAGTCATCGGAGGTTCACTTGCCACCATTAATAATAGACCTCCGTGGCTCATCATTAGTAAAAGCGCAGAGAAGGAGTCACAGGTCAGAATCTGATTCCACGCAACACACAGAGAGAGGAAAGAAAGAGTTCTGCTTCAAAGCTACTGTCAATCTGAGAGATCAATTACATGCGAGTCACAGATCTTTCATACTGAGGTTCCCACACTAGGGGACTGTAGCTCTGGGAACTGCTTCAGCATTTTCCACCTCCCAGAAAAGAGCTGCCAAGAGATTTTGACTCAAACCAAAAATTACTAAATTGTTAAATTTACAAAATGACTGTGTTTACCAAGAGCAGCAGATGTTTAAAGGGAAGAAATTCAGGGTTTGGGGTAATGTCTAGAAACAAGCAGAATACTCACATTGCTGCTGTGAAATCTGTAAACATTGTTGAGCGAGGAATCCACATACCAATGCATGAAGTAGTGGCGATCACCTACAGAGAAAGGGAGGAGGGTTGGACGAAGGGCAGGGATAAAGCAGGTTCATGTAGATTTTCAGGAAAACCTTATTTTCAACACTGAATTTTATCTCTTTTCCATGGTAACTTACTGGAGCTGCAGCATTAATCCAAATTATGATTGATCTTTTGGAGGAGGGGATTTTCCTGTAGATGTAGACTGCTTCCTCTATAAACACCAGATTGGCAATTAGCGTCATCAGAGTTAAGATTGCAAAGAGAAATCTTCCTGGTAGGTCAAGGCCTGCAGAGAGAGGAAAGAAAAAAGACAGTTCTGATTTATTTCATAAGTATTTCAAACATTTAATGTAAAGACACCATCTCTGAGGGGCTCCTTAGCCCTTTTCCTGCAAAGACTTGCACTCGTCCTTAGCTACATAGACCACTGACTCCACAGGATGATTCAAATACTTAAGTTCATGACCCTAAGTCTTTCCAGGATCCACAAACAGCATACGGGAAGAATATGCCTCCATGTTCTCAAAGCATTATGCAAAAGTACCCTTCAGAAAGGTGAGGTTACAGGACAAATGTCCTTAGATGCATGTAACTATGTAACAGAATATAAATAAATACATAATAAATAATATAAATAAATACAGTAAATACATGTTATGGAAACATTTCCAGGCAGACTACAAGCAAAAATGTGTTTATTCGGTATTAGTTCTTTGCTTTCACTGTATGTTCATAGGCATGTTTGTGCATAACTTCCTTGGGCATGCAAACTTTTTAGGGGCTTGGTGGAAGTTTGTGGGCCACACAAGCAATATAAGGATGAGCCCCTGATGTATCTAGCTCGAGAGAAAACGCGATGCCTTCACCAATTTCTTTTTTACTTCTCCTCTAAAGCTGGATATGGATATTAACATTTACCCACGGCTGATGGGGTTTATGTCATTGGCACTGGGGATGGGTATCAACTTCTACCCACGCCTGATGGTTGAGGTGTGTTTTCTCCCAGGAAAGGTGCTTCTGGAGACAGAAGCAAGCACTGCAGTGGAGTCATGTACAATTTAGAAGTTCGTGCTCATCACCAGTGATAGCTCCCGCTGTGGCCACAGCCCATCTAAAGGCACACGGAGCAGCGCCCGCACAGGTGAGCCTTCGCCCCAGCGTTTTTAACCTAACCAGCTTCACAAAGCCCCAGCACGTCCAGGCTTGGCCGCAGGCGGAGCGGTCCACGCCTCAGCGGACACCTCCCCACCTTCGATCTCGCCACGGGGGACCCGGAGGCCAGGCGCGGGTCCGTGGGTCGGTTCGGCAAGTCCACGCCGACCACCCTTCCCCTCCGCGACCGCCCCGCTCCCTCACAGCCGCGCCCGCAGCTCTGGGCTCCTTTCCCCGAAGCCGGAGGCAGCTCGGCCCGATGCCAGGCGGAGCTCCGGCCGGGGCTTTCCTCGCCGGGGACCAACGGCAGCGGGCCGGGCCGGGCCGGGCCGGGCCGGGCCGGGCCGGGCCGCCGCTGAGGGGGGCTTGCGGCCGGGCAGCGGGCAGCGCCCCCCCCCCCCCCCCTCACGCCTTCCCGCCTCGCCCCGGCGCGGGCGGGCGGGCGGCCGCACTTACTCTGGAGAAGCTCCTGCGAGTAGGGCGGCTCGCTGGCGCCGCAGGACGGGTGGAGGAGGGTCTCGTTCCCCTCACCCTCCATGGCGGCGCGGCCCCCGGCCCCCGCCGCGGTGCCCGGGCAGTGCCGGGGGGCGGAGGTGGATCGGGCGGGGGTCGGTGCCTCCCGCCCGGTGCCTGGCGAGGGCGGGAGCCGCGGTGCGCAGCCCGGCCGCTCGGGGCTGCCGAGGGCCGGTTAATGATTAGCCCGGCGGCCGGGGCTGGGCCTCCGCGCTGCCGCCTGGCGCCCAGCGGCCCCGGGCACCGGCGGGGTGGGCAGTGCCGAGCCCCGGGGGGTGTCGCGCCCCGCTCCATCTGCCGGAGGCCGTGTCCGGGCTGTCCCCGGAGTCTCTGCTCGGGCTCCGCGGAGGCGGCCTCGCAGAAGCCGGCGAGCCCTCCCCGTCCCCGTCCTTTCCAGGTGTCGGGGCACCGGGAGCGCGGGCTGGCAGCCGAGGAGCGGGCGGGGTTGCCCGGTGCCCTGCCCGCCCTCCCCCCGGCCCGGCCGTGGCAGCTCTGAGCACTGCCCTCTCTGCGGGGGCCGGTGGAGGCCGAGAGCTGCTTGGGCAGGGTGGCAGACGTGCACAGGACTTTCTGTGGAGCTCTTCACTGGAGACTTCGCGGTAATCTTGGCTGCAATGGGGTGAAAAGCTGCACCATCTTCTGCACAGGTTGAAAGAGAGTACGTCGAGGGTAGGAATACACCAAGGGATTTTCCACTTTCCCACGTGGTGCACCTGCTGGAAGGATCCTTTCTGCAGCCCCAGCATTTTCAGGGAAAAGGGGAATGAGCAATGACATGATGGGGTTTGGTGACCCACCAAGTTGTTCTGGATAGTTGGACTGAAAGCTGGCTGCAGGAAGCAGCGGAGGGACAGTTACAGCGCCGGCTGACAAAACAGCAGGTGACACGCTGTATCATAAACACAAAGCAGTATTCAGGGGGGAGGAGGACAGCCCTATGCAATGATGAACTATTGCCACTCAGGAAAAAGATCTTGGGGCCACAGTGTATAGTCCTTGTAAATGACAGCGGAGGAATCAGCAAAGGAGTGCCGGGAAGTAGTGGATAGAGAAGGGCAGGCACAAAACAGCTAAAATGTATCTGGAGGCCTCCCTTCATCAAGGTGGTATTGCAGGAACTTGGAACAAATTGGGGGGAGGTGGGGAATTTAGGGACTGTGGGAAGTTTGCAGGCACCACAGGCCCTTGTGGTAAAAGCTGCCATCTTGCAGTTTTCACAGGATTCCCAAAGGTTTTACAGGAAGGACACTAAAACCCTGCCAGCAAGAATACAGGGATGCAGAGGAGAACTGAACTGCTCAGTGGCTAACACTGGGAGGTACTCGCCTGAGAAAAGGCAGATCTCTTCCAGTGCGGCAGGACTTGGGAGCAAGACAGATGAGGCTACTGACAGCCTGTTCTGTGTCTGTCAGGAGGACTTGCTTGCAGGCCAAAGTCATTTATGTCGAGTCCTCCTTGACATCGCTGTCATTGTTTTCACTGCATGGAAAGGTGAAAAGGAGAGCTTCACAGTTTCACCAGGAGGGATGCAGCTGTAGCTGGCTGTTAGAATGTGGTATCTGCCCAGACTTCACAGGCTGCCCAGAGCATCCTCCATCCAGCACATCTTCTGCCACCCAGCTGTAGAAAGATACAGGCAAAATTCCTGAAACTTTGTTCCAGCTTATTTTCTATTTGGAAGTCTGCTTACTCATCCTGAAGAAACAGTTTCTAGTAGAGGGGGAAATAGACTTAACACACTATGCATTTTCAACACATTGTGCTTGATTTTTTATCAAACTATTTGAAGGTGATCACATATTCTGAGATGTGATTGAAAGCTCAAGTTAGGGTTTGCTGAGATGGAAAGATGACCCGAGGCCTTTGAAGGTTCTTCCTGAGTAGAGGAAACGGGATTCCCATCTGCTGCTGTTTTGGTTGCCAGCTCCTTGTATTCCCTGAGAGCTAAAAATAAAAATCCCTTTCCTGCGAATCCCTTCTTTTAATGAGGCAGGTTTGTCAATGCTTTTGTTAAAGAAACTCACACATTAAGTATAGGAGTGACAAAACTCACAGCTATTTTACTGTATTTAAAAGAAACCCAGAATCTGCTTAGACTTAAGAATTCCTTGAAGGATCCATAACTATTCTGGATTTGACAGTCATATTTTAGTCATTCAGCAATACCAGTTTGGAGCAAATAATGCAGTGTACACTGGATGTGGTGTTAAGAGAATTCCCTGTCTCAAACCTGTAGAAAATTACCAGGTTGAAGTTTAGAGGTTAAGGATTAATTCTCAGCTGCTGTTATAGAGATCCATCCTACTCTCTCTTCTACTGGAGTCTCCTGCACAGAACAGCATCTAAAAACAAAAGCAAAAACCTACTGGGTTTCCTATTTGTTAGAAACACAATTTGCTGTCTTTGGGTCAAACGTTAGATCCACTTCCTTAAAAGCTGTTGTATGTCTGGGGGGAGCATGCATCACCTCTTCCTCACATCCTGGCTATTTCTTGGCAACAGTGTTTGCCTGATATGGCCTGAAGAACATGACATGACCCCTCAGCTACCACCGTTGGAGGTCTCCTGCTCTGTTCACACTTTCTTAGCCCAGGCTCTTCAGCAGTGCCCTCTGCGCTGGCCCCTAAGCCAAATGCCGAGTCTTTACACCAACAGCAAACCCTTTAAATCCCCAGGAGCTGTCTTCACTATTCCAGTTTTTTATTTAACCTTCTATTTTAATACAGGATATTTTCCACAAAAAACACCTTCAGCAGTAGAAGAGTATTTATAAATGGATCACCTATCTATTTAGATGCATCAAGAGATTTTCACGGTTCCTCAGGATAAAAACCACCTGTGAACACAGTTCCCTGCCCCTGTGTATCAGGGGCTCTCGGGTACTTTGTGGTTCAGCCCCCTTCCAGACACTGCACTGCTCAGATTTGTTTCTTCTCAAGGAACATGCCTCTTTGCTTCTACCAGTGTGCTCTTCTTGTAAAGAGCACTGCAGATGTTTATCTTTCTTCAATTTTTCTGATGACTTTAATTTTCACCTGCCTCACTGCAGGAATAGCCGGATCCTCTTAGCCCTGTTGAGCAGGACGCCTGTTGTGGGAGCACGGCCCCCATGGTGTGCAGTCTGGCGGAGCTGATGTCACCTGTGGTTTCTCCCCGAAGGAGGCAGACTGGCTTTCGGGAGGTGACACAGCCCCGCTATCCCATATTGGTGGGCCAAACCTATAGACAGAATTCCTGATGGCAGTCCTGGCTCAGAAACTAAACAGCATGAGATCCTGTAGGCTATCTCACAGGACAAACTCAAAGCTCCATCGCATAGGGTACGTAGGGTAGGCTAATGTATTTTGGTTGTAGGGAGGTCTAGCAGACATCATCGCCAGTGCAGATGGGAAATACAGTCAAAGACCTTTCCTGAAGGGAAAATTACATTCAGCTGAGTTCAAGCTAATAAGAAAACTTTGTATTACAAAAATAAACCGACAATTTTCAGTGCCCCAGGGCTGTACATTAGATTTCTCACAAGTTTGGATACCGAACCAGCTAAGAAAAGTCAAATAAAATGGTACAGCTTCCAAAGGCATGTACAGGTTTTTTCTCAGCTATAGCATATTATACAGTTGAACTTGGATGCAACTTGGTCTTTTCCACTATAAAGCCGTTGACTTTTCACCTACTGCCAGTAATAAACTACCCATTTCAGAAAAGGTGGCTCATTAATGGAAGAAAAAGAACATCTTTATCACTGTTAGGGAGATTAATAATGGAATTTGCTTGTTAGTTGGATCCTGGCAGCAACTGTAAAAATAAAGAAATACAGTGATTACAATGAAATAAGTTAACAAAACTAAATTATAATTTTCATGCCTTTTCAGATGGACAAATTTCTACATTAGAAAGAATATCAGGTGTGCCAGAAGCTTTACACCTGTGCTTTTAATAGGAAAGCTTGGACAAAAACTCTTATCTGTAGAGAAGCAATAAAAGAGAGAGGCTTTCATTAAATCCGAAGCTAACAAGTGTGATTTTATCTCACTTCAAAGGTAACAAATCAGTTTCTGGCAGTAAATATAGGGGAAAAGTATAAAGAGGCAGAATAAAACTATTATTTTTTTAATATGTTACACTTTCAACCAGCTACGAGTAATTATTTGCCTTGTTTTACCAGTTTAATTTATGAGCGATTGGATGTGGCAGTAGAACAACAGAAAGGAAGTGCACAGTACTTCATAGTAGAACAAAAGAGCTGAAAGAACCTTATAAAATTAGGACCCCAAATTGGTGGTAAGGGGGGTAGCCAACAATCAGCATCCTGAGGGAGAATAGAGGCAGGTAGTGCATTTGCTCTGCCGTTGCTGTGATAAAGTGCACGTATTTGATTGCAGAGCTTTTCAGCAATGGAAGAAGTTTTTCCCCAAAGGAGTGTTGATGAGCAGTAAGACAAATATGTCTCAAGGACCAAGTAAATGCCACTTTGTGAGCATCTCATCTGTGTCCGAGGGCACTGATGGGCAAAGACAAACCTCACAGATCTTCAGCATCAAAAAAAATAGATTAGGATTAAGAAGTTCTTTCCCTAGCGTGAATTTCTGTAGATTTTGTCTTCCCAGTCTTGATTTATAATCTTCAACTTCTAGACAAGGGCTGTCAAGAATTCTGAGAAGTTTATGTGTCAGAAATATCAGTATATCTGAACTAAATCTGCTGATAAGAGGGGTGATTTTTAAAAGATTTATTGACACAAAAATATTTTTTAACTTTGGTTTATGTGGAAACATTTCAGTCTGACGTTTCCTACATGAACTGTTCTGCATCCGCTCTTGAAGGCAAATTTTGAAATCTGAAACATTTTGAAACTCATTAAAATAACAAAAGTGATGGAAATCAAAATGCAATGTTTTGAAACAAGGAAATTGTGCACAAATTGATTGATTTATTTTTTGTCTATAGAAGTTTCTGCTTTTCAGCATAATTCAGGATACCAGACCTGAAGAAAAGCCAATGATCTCTTTATGGAATAGGAAAAACAAAAGCTAAGGACCTCTTTATGGAACAGGATATGTAGAGTCAAGACAACTATGCTTGAGATCATGTTTTACAGCTGTTTCCTGGAGGGGAAAGCGTGAGGCTCTTTGGAAGTTACTGATGTTCTTCTGACTGGAAGGCGGCATCTCAGGCACACTGCGTTAATGACTAAGTCTGCTTTTTCCACAACAGCCAGGTGCTGGGCAAGACAGATCATGCATTTCTTCCCACAGGTCATAACATGACAGAAATGTTTTTTGCTCTTTCTATATTGCTATCGCTAGGAAGGAAAGAAAAGAAAACAAAAAACAAAACAAAACAAAACAAAACCAGAACACACACACACACCCCAGTAAACCTGTAATGTAATAATATAATAAAAAACCCCAAACAGAACACAGTCCCAAACTAGAGGTAT